GGTTACTATAAAACTCTTCTCCCCAGAGTGAGGAAGCCAGAGCCTTTAGCAGCCACACACGACTGATTCCCTCTCAGCTGACACACGGAGAATATTTGGACTTTTTTTGTTTGTTTTTGGCCCCTCTGACCTAAAAGCTGGGATGATGATGATCCCCGGTGTCCTCGCGCCGCCCGCCCTCTACCCGGGTCTGTACCGGCCCGCCGCGGCTCTCCCGCTGCACCAGACTCTGCCCGCCGCCTTCCAGAGCCACTCCAGCTTCCTGGTGGAGGACTTGCTCCGGATAAGTCGCCCCGCCGCCTTCCTAAGCCGGACGCTGCAGCCGGCGAGCGGCTCCCTGGCCCCCGTCACCACGACCACCGCGTCCTTCAACGGAGCCGCCGCGGAGCGCGCACCGGCCGCCCCCGCGGCGACGCGCGACTCCTGCTCGCCCAAGACCTCCGTGCCGAGCGGCAAGGATGCAAGTTTTCTCAAATTCGGAGTGAGCGCCATCCTCGCGCCATCACCAAAGACGGGTGAGTGATGACGTCACTTTTGTTTGGTTTCACTTTGAATAGTTTGTTTCCTCCTCTCGTCCAGGAATAATCTGAATATTTGTGATGCTTCTCTCCTCCACCCCACAACAGCATCCCCCCCGCCTGCAATCCACAGCTTGCAGTCCAAGACCTTCCCTGTCCCCTGCTTTGACGGGACCTTCCACCCCTTATTCAGAACACCTTATTTACCAGGTGGGTGCAGCTCCTTCACGCTCCTTATAATTCTGTCCTAATTGCATTTAAATGTAAACCACTGCTGTCATATATCTGAGCTGGAAAAGAAGAAGAAAAGGAGGGTCAAACAGCRAGAAACGAAGAAATCACTGTCTTATTAATAGGGACCGCTGGCTCTGGCCCCTGCCAGGGCCAACCCACCCACCCCCTAATTAACCAATTATCCCAAATCGTCACGCTCTAAATTTGAGGCGGGGTAGCGAGTTATGGTCCCCCTGCTTCCCATTGGGGGCGTTCTGGCATTTCCCCGGCCCTCCGTTTTTCCCACAGGGCCTGGGGTGGAAGAGGGGGGACCACCAGGCCGCTCTGGCAGCAACAAAGCCCCCCACCACCACCCCTCAGCACCGTGACCAATGTGGTCAGCTCCCACCGGGTGAACCACCCACATGCCCAGGAGAGTGACTTTTACCAGGCGGGCCAAAGGCGTGAACCAGTCATGCACTAATTTCCCCATTAGGCGCTATTGAGACTTTTCAATCTTCTCACAAGACCACATGGTGCGTCGTTGTTCCGGACTGTGCCGCGGCCGCAGAGCAGCCACAGCGGCCAGGAAGTCCGGTCATCACGCTGCAGGGAGGTGAGGTGTCGCGCTCCGCAACTTTCACTGTCCCACCTGGGAAAAAACCAGGGGGCTTTCTGCTCCCCGCTTCAAGATGTGGTCACCACTGACACCCCCCTCTCCCTTTACCCCTGTGCCCTAAACGTTCCTGTATTCTCTAACCAAGCCAAGGAACGAGTTGAAATAAAGAATAATCCCTTAGAAAAGTCTATAAAGTCGTTAGTCCGGGCTTTCATTCAGACAAATCATAATGGAGATGGAGTCTTTTCATGAGCTCTGCTGAAAGCCTCAACAAAACAACTCCAGCGTCCTGAAAAGCTTTTCGTGTTCATTTAATGAAAATGATTTGAGGGCAAGGAGGAGGAGGAGGAGGAGGTGGGGGGAGAAAATGCTCCATTCCCTGCTCCTCCTCGCTCCCCCCGCCGGCCATCAGTATTCTGGTATGCAGTTGTGTTTAGTTTGAAAGTGTAAATCTCCTTTTGTTGCGGTAATATATGGCCTTCGCCGCCTGTCCAGAGTCTTTTCTGCGTTAGTTCATTACTACACAATTACCGTTCACGGTTTATTAACTCCTCTGTCCGCCCTCACAGGGCTCCTTTAAGGGCTCGCTACCTCTTTACCATACCAATGCGGCTGAGGAGCGGCCAATGTGCTAATTAGTCACCTCGTGCCYTTTCACTCCAAACTGAGACGTTATTGCTCAGTTTGAAACCAGAGAACTTGATATCCAAGCCGTTTTAAAGCCCATAGGTTTAATGTTGTTGTCACTACATAGGAGAGTTTGGAGAAGCTTGCTTATTCATCAACTTTGTTTTGCAGCATCTTCCTCCGTTGTTCCCATCCCCGGGACTTTCTCGTGGCCACTGGCCGCCAGAGGGAAACCCCGCAGAGGGATGCTGAGGAGGGCGGTGTTCTCCGACATCCAGCGCAAAGCCTTGGAGAAAATGTTCCAAAAACAGAAATACATCAGCAAGCCCGACAGGAAAAAACTGGCCTCGAAACTGGGCCTGAAAGACTCCCAGGTAAAACTTCCCCTGACAGCCAAATCTGCCGTGCGTAATTTGTGCGTAAAGATACCCTTGRGCGCTCTGCTGCGCCCCCCTAACGCAGAACATTCCCACTCAATGTCTTTCCCCCCACTTCACCCTGTCTGCAGGTGAAAATCTGGTTTCAGAACCGGAGGATGAAGTGGAGGAACTCCAAGGAGCGAGAGCTGCTGTCATCCGGCGGGTGTCGGGAACAGACGCTGCCCACCAAAGCCAACCCACACCCGGACCTGAGCGACGTGGGCAAGAAGTCCTCCGCCGAGGAGGAAGAGGAGGAGGAAGAGTTCAGAAGAGACCGGATGAGGGCGGCAGGATGCGGCGTTTCTTCTCCATCTCTTTCCAGTAAGCACTCAGACTTCTCAGAGTCGGACGAAGAGGAAATAACAGTATCTTAATTTATTTGATGATTCAGATTTATTGAATGCCGTTTTTATCTGACTGTGACCAGATTGTGTAAAAAAAAAAGCTGCTCCCTGACACAAGAACTCATAAAAAGTCCCAACCTAAAATATAAGCATAAAATAAAAGTTGGTGATGCTGGGCTGGACGGGTTCTGATTCAGTGACACATTTTGCTGTTTTGCACAGCTTTGCTCAAATGTACAGTATTTTGTACAATTTTGTATGGAAATTAAATGCCAATAATATTAAGTTACTTTAGCCGTATTGAAAAGCTGTTTATGAAAAAAAAGTAGTTATTTTTTAATTTATAAGTATGCTGTATTATGTGCTGTATATATGTATATCTCACTTTTTGTACAAACACCAAATAAAATGTGAAAAAAAATGTTCCAAGTGAAATGTGTGTGTGTGCTTTTAAATCAAACAATGAACAAGGTTCAGTTATAAATAATTAATAAATTTATTGAATCACAATAACTTAAGACTAGTACAGTGATAGATTCAATTCTGCYAGCCCCCGGGTGGACAGACACTTTACAAACCACATGGTTTTCTCTGGTGTGAAGAGACCTTACACAAAATACCTCAGATTCAAGTATTGTACCAAATCGGCTAGAAAAAGGTCATAAAAATCCTGCGAGACGATCAAACTATTTACAAAGCTATGTTACATATAAAAAGAAATGTACATGGCTACGAAAGCTAAACATTRGTTGGGTTTATGAGGAACAAAAATGCTTCAAACATTCACACCTCAGAGCAGGCGTTCCACAGACGGACAGGATTTTTACTCTTTGTGCTTGAAAAAGACCGAAGCAGGTGAGCGTTAGGGGAACAAACACACACGGGTGAGAAATTTGGCGTCATGCAAAACATTTGAAATGTTGCTCAAAACTGCTGGAAACGACACATTCAGCTGTAATATCTGGGTCAGAATGAAGGTTGCATAGGATCAGTGAGAAACACYTTGAAAGGACCACTTTTCTCTGACTTTAAACATCTACCTGCCCTTTTCTGAAGAAAGGCTTCAAGGATTACATCTTTTTTTATTTTTTTTAAAAAAGGACCATTTAAAGTTGCAAAAATTTTCATGATCATTTAATCACAAGTACCTTTATAACTCTTAATTATATTAACAAAGCAGCTTTAATATTAGTTTCCACTTAACTTGTTCAACATGTTATAACTTTTGTTCACACAATCAAAATATAGCAAAGCAGAATTAAAAGATGATAAAAACATCTTTTCCTTTTCTCTCCACCCACAAAAGGGCCCTGATTTCAAGCACCAAAACACATATTTTTTTTTCTCTTTTCATTCAAGCAGTTGAAAAATATTTACAGTCTTCTTAACATCGGGTCACTCATGCAAAATAATAATTAAAAAAAAACAAAGAAAACAAAAAGCACCGCTTTCTCAGTCACATCTTTTCAACCTCACGGCGTCGGTGATTGATATGAGAGGTCAACGGTGGTCCTGGACCACTGCAGCGGCTCCGAGGACGGTCGACTCTGAGCCCTGTTACATTTACAGCCGCTTCAATGAACTACTGGTAATCAGCTAATGCACCTAGTCTGGTAAAAAAGCGTAAGGCAATGTTTAAGATTAAGTCCAGCACCAAAAGGAGAATTGTGCTACAACAGCCTGCGTGGGCCAAAAATAAAAAAATAAAAAAATTAAAAATTTCTTAATGAGAAAGAACATGGAAGTTTGTTTGTTTTTTTCAAGAGATGRTGTTTGGTAAACTGCATGAAAATGTGTGAAAAGGATAAACTTCACCAAAGTGATTATTATCAGTCAACCATTTCCATAACAGACAGCTTCACCAGGTAGATATTGTTCTTGTTTAAAGTTATTTTTTATGTACTTTAAGGGTTAGTTGTGTTTGTTTTGACGTGAACGAGCTGTAAAAAAACTTGTGCTAAGTTCTGAGTAGAACTCTGTAGTTTCTGTGCGATCTCTGTTGCTGCCGTTAGTTAAACCAGAAGTACCAGGTTTAGTAAATTTGGCAAGCCGTGACATGAAAGGTCAAGTTTTGGGATGGCCGTGAGCTCATTTACAAGGCTTTAGCTCACAGTTTGATTTCTCCAGCACAAAATAATAAAATAAAAAAATAAAAAATAAAAAAATTAATGCCATCTCAGGGCACCTAATGTTAAATGTGAACAAGAAAACCCAGTCTGTGGCAAGTGAACACTTATTAGTTACATCTGGCGGGAGTTCATCACTAATATGGTGGCAGTTTTGCTACAATGTAAAAGCAGAAACAGTCCGTTTAGATGGAACTGACAGGAACTTGGTGAGGGACCAGAATAATAACTGATATATGCTGACTTTGACACATTTGAAGAATTAAAAAAAAGTGGTTTTTGGAAATGAGAACAGATTGCCGATGGTCCCAACATTCATTTTAGCTCGTTTTATCCACAAACAGTCAAACTGAGCCGTGGATGTTCATCCATCCTGCAGCAGGTCACTCCTCTTCACTGTTCCAGGGAACGTCACTGCATCGCCACCTGCAGGACGCTCTGGAGCCATGCAGCTGTGCAGGAAGCTGAACTTCGTGCTGAGGGGACGATTTGGCAGCTCAGTGGAGGATGAAGACCACCTGGCTGGTGTTTAAGTAAACCGATGATGATGATGATGACGATGACGCCTCAGCAACAGAAGGTGTGCTTCTGTCTGTCTGCAATAGACGTTAGCTTCCTGATAAAGGAGCCACGGGCCACAGTGGTGAAGGAAATAAAAGGCAGTGCTCTAGAAATGTTTGTTGCTCTCTTACAGAAATGCTGTTGGGATTTTTTTCTCCTCCTACATATTTGGGTTACCTGCACCCAAATCAAGGCGGCTACATTTTGTGCCCCCTCCCCACACACAAAAAAAATCTATTTTCAAAATTCTCACCTTGAGAAAAGTTTTAAAATGTTCTTTTGAAATAATAAAAAAAGTTTTGAAAGTATCACAATGTTGACTCCAGCGAAGAGTCCAGGATGTCATCATGGTGACTGTTGCTGTTGGAGTCGCTGTCGTAGCTCTGCGGGCTCGATGACGTCGCCGCTTCTTTCAGACGCATCAGCATGTTCATCTGTGGGCGGAAACAGGAGTCAGAGGGGAGCTGATGGCTGTGCTTACAGGGACAGGGAGGTCAGCACACGATTACAGGGAGGGTGCGTTTGTTTTAGTCACCAGCGGGTCTGCGTCACTGTCACTCTGCGGCAGCTCCTTCCTGGCTCCTTCTCTTGGCGCCGAGTAGCCATCGAAGCCCACGTCTTCGGGGCGCAGCTGCAGCAGTGGGGGCCAGTCCCCTTGAGGTGGAGATGATGACCAGGGGTAGGTGTCGATCACCCAGGCTGCTGGGTCCTCCCACGCTGCCCTGCGGCCGTACAGCTGAGGGAAAAAAACAAGTCAAACCACGCTTTGGTTTTATCCAAGAGAATCTGATGAAAACCTTTGAATTTGTTTTTTTATTTTATTTTTTGCATACAAATTAGGCTGGAATAATTTTATTTCTTTTTAGTAGTATCTGCACTTTAATGTGGATTTTGATGATTTTTATTGTGATATTAGCTAAGGCTAAACCATCTACAACTGTTGTAGGTGAAAATATGAGAATAACAAATTTTTTAACTGTTAGTTTTCAAGATTGAAGTTATTTGCAGAAAAGTTTTTTCCTTTGATCTTTTTTTTCACCTCACCGTTCCTTTCACTGATAACCTGAATGTTACAAATTCTGTCTCATTAAATCATGTTGAAACACACTTATTGGGAGAAGTAATTAATTTATTTGTCAATGATCAATATAGCTCTGGTAATTTAGTAAAGCAAAACTGAGCTGTTCCACTATTTTTATGTTAATTAATTTTTAGCCACATTTATTGGTATAAAAAAAAACTGAGGATGCTGTTTCAGTGAGTTACCACTGAAAGAAAAAAAAAACAAACAACAGACTATAGTCACCAACAAAACTCCTTGCAGTTACCTGCAGTCCCTCGCGTACAGCCTCAAGCATGTAGGGGATAATGGAGTAATTCCAGAGGTCAGTGAACCAAACCCTGGATCCCTCCACATCCATGGGACATGACAGAAAGAGACGAGGTCCTGCGTGTTACGGAGCCAAGAAGTAAAGAGGTGTTAGTTTGCGTCTGTGTTTTGTGAAAGTTTATGGATTTCTCTTCTCTGCTGTAAGGCTTCCTCACCGATGGTGACATCAGAGGAGCTGTGACTCTCCAGGAAGCGGTTGAGGTGGTGCCAAACCCGTGGAACCCAGTCGATGATCTTTACCAGCTCCGTGCTGCGCGTCCGGCTGCCGATTTCCATCTCAATCAGCTTCCTCCTCAGGTGGCGACCGAGAAATCCTTTCACTGGCTCCATGTGGTTGGCACACAGGACCCACCTTTTTAGAAAACACAGGTCTCTCAGTATTCAACTAATAAGTAAAAAGTGAAGTATTCCTTCGTAAGACCATGTTTAAAGTGGAAGAAAGTAGCAGTTTACCTGAAGTTGTGGTGAAGCTGCAGGTTAGGGGCCGATGACGTAGCTTGGCTCATGGTGCCGATAATGTAAGGGCTAAAAAACAAAATAAAATATTCAGAATTTTTGAGGCAACATGAGGACATTAAATCACTGAACATGTCACATAAAATTGTAAAATTTGAGAAAGTTACCGGCTGGACTCTTGTTTACACTTACAAAGTGTGGGACTGGAAATACTACGATATAATGGTGCAGCCTGACAGTCGCACACATCACTCCCTAATTTCCCTCTGGGATCAATAAAGTATTTTTGAATTGAATTGAATTGAATCATGGTAAACATGACTGATAATAATAATAATAATAATATCTAAGGACCATTCTCAGTTTAAAACTGAAAGGTATCAACACATCATTACTGCTAAAACTCTTTCAGTTTTCAAATGAAAAAAAAAACCTCATGAGAAATGAACTCAGTCTCAGCTCAGTTGCCTCTGATTCTGTCTGTTATAACTTTTTAGAACAGATTAAAAAGAGGAAACCTTGAGTCAACCAGTCAATCACATACAATATTTTCCAGACTGTAAGTCACACTTTTTTTTCATAGTTTGGCTGGTCCTGTGACTTATGTTGTGGAGCAACTTATCTATGGCTTTTTCCTCTTCATGACACATTTTTAACAGATTTTTTTAGTTCAGACTGACTGACAGGAACCAAGGAGTAAACACTACAGTCTGCATCCAGGAGAGGGCACTCTAGGCATGTAACAACTACAGTATATGTTATGTTGCACCTGTACCGGTGAAAAAAAAGCAGAGGTTTCTCTTCCTGCACCGAAGAAACTAAAGCTAAGCTAATGATGTGGAATGGTGGACTCGATGGTTTCTTATGTTAATTAAAGTTATTCGGCATCTCAGGTTCTGTGTGTTATTCCAGATTAAATGTCTGTTCTTAGACTTTGTCGAATATATTTCTAAATAAATGTGACTCCTCGTCAGGTGCAGCTTGTTGTTTTTTTCCCTCTTCATGATGTGTTTTTTGACTGATACACATAGTACTCTGGAGTGACTTATACTCTATACATATATATAAATTTTTCCACGTTCATTCTGTATCAGAAATTACAACGGAGTATTAGGGCCACACAACAAGATTTTTTAAATTATTATTACAAGATTATAGTCGTAATTTTATGAAAATAAAGTCATAATTTTACGAGATTAAATGGTAAATGGACTGTACTTATATAGAGCCTTTCGATCCATCCAGGACACTCAAAGCGCTTCACACTACAGACATTCACCCACGCACACTCACATTCACACACTGATGATGGCAAACTACAATTGTAGCCACAGCTGACCTGGGGCACACTGACAGAGGCYAGGCTGCCATACTCGGGCGGCACRGGACCCTCTGACCATTAAAGCCATATTACGAGAATAAAGTCATAATCTTATATGACGTATCCATTTTCCATTCCCCAGTTCCTCCTTGTTTTCCAAACACCTGCTGTGTACAGCCATGTCTCTGTGTTTATAAAGTAGTCCACGATGACTTGGGTCACTGTTAGATTAATATACTTTCAGCCAAATTAGCTATGTGACGAATTTCTGTCAATGCATCCATTAATTACAATACGGTTTCAGTTTATCATATAGTCTTTTGCACAATTTACAAGTCCTGCTACTGATAATTTGATGCCAATGTGCGAAAAGATTAACTATTTATTTTAAGCAATAACAAGTTGCTCAACATTCCTCATTTTAATGTGGTGGTAACTGCATGCTGTTTTGTGTAAAGGCTAGAATATTATGACTTTTTTCTCGTAATATTAAGACTTTAATCTCATAATATTATGATTTTAATCTCGTAATTTACGACTTTATTCTCATAATATTATGACTTTAATTTCGTAATATTATGACTGTATTCACATAATATGACTTTATTTTTATGACTTTAATGTCGTAATATTATGACTTTATTCTCATAATATTATGACTTTATTTTTATATGACTTCAATGTCGTAATATTGACTTTATTCTCGTAATTTAAAAAAAATCTTCTTGTGTGGCCCTAACACTCCATCGTAAGTAATGAATGATAAATGCATCTATCTAAATTTATTTAACCAGTTTTACTGTTAGACTTTATTATCCCCAGTGAGGGAATTTGTTTTCACAGCATAGATTTTATTAGCAAACACAGTCTGACTGGATGACAAAGACAAATGAAGATACATCTGTTAGACACAGTAATGTCCCTAACTTTGTCTATTATTCAGGACAGAACTCTCTCAAGGAACAAGACTTTTTTTTTAAATTATGTGTTTTCTCTTCTCCCAGAAGGTAGGTAAACTGGGTATGGGAACAGCAACYGTTCTAAATGTTATTCTGGTAATAAGTGTTAGTTTGGACCAATTAAAAACAGATACAACTGAAGGATGTGTGTGAACTGACCAGTGCTGGTAGTTGCAGTTGAAGAGACCATTGAAGATCTCCCCCAGGGAGCTGACATGGTGGAGGTTGTCCAGAATGACCACCAGAGGGCCCTCTTCTCCAGACACCCCCCTGCACTGCTGCGCCAAACCTGACAAGTACTGCCGGAGCTCCTGGAGACACAGGCAGTGATTTGTTTATCTACAGACAATCTCCTTCACAAAGATGCTCTGATAAGTTCTGAAAAGACACAAAGTCTATCCAAAAGAATTTGCTGCAACCACAACAGTGCAGTTTTACAATGTTTCAGGGTTAAACAACACAACACATTTTAAGTTTGTGCAGCAGGGAAACTAAAACCATTATGAGGTGAAAGCCAACGYATTATAGAAGTGTTTATTTACTTTGCTGGACTTGTGGTCCACATTGAAAGTAACAACAGCGTTTGGGGTCAAGGGTCGGCCCTCCAGCTGCAGCAAGTGTTGAGACAGTTGATTGGCCAGGTAGGTCTTTCCTGTACCGCTCGGACCAGAGAGGATGACCCGTCTGTGCTCTTTCAGCAGGGAGATGTAGCGCTGCAGCATGGGCTTCGGGATCAACGTGTCAAACACCAGCGAGTCCACACTTTCACTGTGTGCACCTACACACAAACACACACCATGTCACTTTTTAAAAAATACATGGAATGAGATTACAAATTTCCTATGACTGTTTGAAATTTATGAACTGTATTCATTCTAACGTGCTTGTCCAGTTTTAATCTGCTTTGTTCTTATTTCAGGGTAGGCCTGAGCATATTTGGCACCCTCAGCAAGGTTTCAGGTGGTGCCCCCTGTGCAATTTTCTAAATCTCACTAACATATATGTCTGAAAACCCCTTCAGACATTTACCTGTATAATGATCCTCAAAAATCCATTTGGATGGATATTTGATGTTTTTAATTGCTTTTTGAATGTCCTACAGGCATTTTAAATAAATTTGAAATTGAGTTTTTGAAAAAATCCGTAAAACATGAAAAAAATCCCTGAGATTGCTCTATACATCCAAATAACTTGCAAAATGATGGAAGATCCATGTAAATTATGAATAATCTGTATAACTTGACAAGTGTACAAATTTTCTTCCATTCACATACCAAATTAAATCTAGTTCTACTCAAAAGATAAAAGCTCCATTGAAAACTGCGTTTTCCAGCCATTTGAAGAACATCTGACTAAACTCTTGGGATTACTACAACATAAAACCAGTATTTTATGAAGGTACAACACTGAAAACGATCAGAACTGAAACTTCCATTATCCTTATTTAATTTCTATTTACAAACTGAGCATCAGTAATTAGTCTTGACTGCATCATAGGATACTTTTTTATACATTTTTTGTTCCCCATTTGTGGTGCCCCTTAGATGAACAGCGCCCTTAGCATTTGCCTACACTGCCTTTAGCAGTGGTCGACCCTGGCTTATTTAAACCAGAACAGAGCAGCTGTCTTCGGACCTTTCAGCTGGATGTTGATGGTGTTGTCTCCCACCAGGTAGCCGCAGGGCAGCAGTTCAGGCGTGCTGGCCGTGCTGGGGCTGCTGGGCCGATGGATTTCTCCAATGTTGTAACCCTGCACACTGTCAGTGCTCAGGCCCAGCTGGCTCACCGGGTCCACATGAGTAATATACTCCTGCAACAGATACAACTTAAGCATTTAAAAGATGCTGAAATGAATGCAAGCATGTTCTCTGTAAAGATTTAAAAAGTGATTTTGACTGAGGCTGATGTAGGTTTTATTACAGTTATTATTGTAAACTTTATGTTTGTTTACCTTAAAAAGGCGTCGGACCACTCCATCCAACACGTCCCACTTAGTTTTTCCACTCACACCAATGCAGCCGATCAGAAAATGACGAGACTGGCCCTCCTGTAAAAGAAAACAGGTTTCAAAGTTGAAAACCTCACATTTACAACACCACATTTTCCAACTAATTCAGCTGGCCTCACCTCCTCCCACTTGCTGTACTCATCCAGACTGACCACGATCTTCACGTGTCGCCCCTCCTTCCTCATCCCGCCCTCTCCACCCGTATCGTCCAGCAGCATGTCTGACAGATCAACAAAGTGTTTTACATTAGTCATCATTTTCTGTGTAATGTTTAAGAAGGAAAATGTTAAATTATTTGGTTTTTGACCCTAGAATTGCAGGATATTCTATAAACGGTGCCTAAAATTAAAAGAAAGTCGACATGTGAATCCTTAAACAGTAGATGAACAGTATCTGAAAGTCAGGTTTTTAGGAAACAAAATCTCCAACAAAACCTTGACCTGAGAAATCCGCCATCTGTCAGTTCATTACGTCAACTTTTCAGTTAATAGCTCTTTAGAAATAGCCTTGTTGGTGCTAAAAAATATTTTGTTAATCAAACTGTTATTTTGTATAAATTTATTATTTTAATTAGAAAAATGGGAACAATTTTGTCTTTGCGACAGTCAGCCTAAAMATCTGAGTTAAAAGGAGTTATCTGCTAAGCTAGCCATTACGTGTCAACACCGGTTCATCCCTCAATTTGAGGAAGGTTTTTATGTCTGACTGATTCGGAGGTCAGGCTTAAAGTACTCATGACATCAATTTTTTGCAGTAAATATAAATGCATTTTAAAAGATATCAGAAAATTTCAAAAACAGTTTCACGCCACTGAGGTGGAGTTGTTGAGATATTTGCATGTGAAGTAACAGGAAGTGATGTCAAAGGGGAACATCTGAATATAAACAGCCTTGCTACAACTGCTAACAACACAGACAGTAGTGAAGAATTTAATACTTATTTAAATTATTTTGAGTCACTATCAAATAATATTGTTTCAATAAACAAAAAACAGAGTTTTCTTTGTTAAAAAGTTCCCCTTTGATGTCAATTCCTGTTTCAATTTGGCTGAGCTAAGTTCCAAAGAAAATATGTCAGTTATGTGACAAAACGTGCATTATGCCAACTTTCTTATATAAAGCTGTTACCTTTAACTTTTTATATTTTAAGTACTTCAAGTGACCTAATAAAACGTTCTGGTACTGTTCAGATTCTGCTTTTCTAATTAAACAAATCAACTTTTTTTCTAAATATTTATCAGAATGCTGTTAAGTTTGTACTAAGCCATTAAGTCATGACAGCTGATTATTTTGTGAAGTTTGTCCCGTTGATGACATGACGGTTAGTCTGTAGGACCTGTTAGGTCTTACCTAGGCTGGTCGACTCGCTGGTGGTGAGGTTGAGGCTGTGCTGAGACAGTCCAGGAGCCGGTCCGGGAGCATGGCTCTGTGTGTGAGGGGGAGGAGAAGACGAGATGGACACCTGGGAGCCGGTCCTGCTGCCCTGACTCTCCAGCTTCAGACGATCGTTCTCCGTCTTCAGCTTCTCGATCTCCAGCTGTCAAACACACAAGCAGCTTAGTCAGTAACAAAACAGGTCTAGATCACTTCTTACATTCTGTGCTTTATCTTCAGACCTGCATGCGGTTCATGGACTCTCGGAGCTGGTCCAGCTGATGTGCGGAGCTGAGAGCCTCCAGACGGATATCAGTCAGCTTCATCTCCTTCTCCCTGAGTTCACTGCGCAGCTGCATCACCGTCTCCGCCTCGCTGTCCAAACACTCAGACAGCCTGAGGGAGTAAAAACAATTCACAGACTTACTTCAAGAATCTGCAGGTTGTTTGTGCCGGGGACCATTAAAGAAGAGTTCAACCACAGGAGACGCTCACAGTGAGTTGGAGTGAGTGTTTCTGAGCAGGTGGCCGGTGGCTGAAGTGCCGTTGTGAGGCAGTTTAGGGGAGGAGGGCAGCGACGAGTCCGTCATCTCCTCGATGTCGGAATGAGAAGAGGCTGATTTGGGAGATTTCTTCTTGGTGAAGGCTTGTTTGAAAGAACTCCGCAACTGCAAAAAATAAAATAAATAATAATAATAAAGTCAAAAAAGAAGGTAAGTAAAGGATGCTAAAAGTGGCTGAGAAGAAAAGGAAGGTGTGCTGGGAAAGTGTCAACAAACTGCTGCAGAAAAAGAAAACACAAGTCATAGGGAGAAAAGGAATTATGGGTAGTGTCTTATGACAGACTTGGAGCTTCAGCTCAAAGCACAAAAGTGCAAGATATTCTGTTTACCTTTAGCCCACGTACCTCTTTATTGTGTCTAATTATCTATGAAAAAAACAGTCCAAATAAATCCTATAACAGCAAATTACCTTGTTTTTATTAAACGGCTAAAGGAAAACTGTCTCCCCACACAAGTGTATCCAGATTGTACTGTGTATAAATTTACAAATATTAAAGGAAGGTAAAACAACAACCACTTTTTTATAGTTTAACTATCTTTTTATTTAAATTCAAGCAACTATAAAACATCTGTAAGAAACAGGATTGGATTTGCAGTCAAATAAAGTTTAACACATCAAAGACGTGTGAGAAATGATGATTTCTTGTAAATGATCAGAAAGCTATAGAAAGTGCTGCACACTCAGCAAGATAGGTATTTTGCAAATCCAAACAGTTCAAAAATATACTTGAAGCAAGTTTGTGCTTTATTCAGTAAAGTACTGACTATAATAAAGGCACGTTGGTTTTGTTTCTACAAAATCGCAAATCTTTTGACAGTATTTAGTTTGTGATTTTCTAAGTTGTTCACTAGAAAGGATGCCTGTTTTATCTGAGGGTTTTAGATAAGTTTTTGTTTTTTTTAAAGAGCCAGCTCAAGTGTCATAAGAGCAGTTTTCAGGGAAGCAGTGCTGGAGAGGACAGACGCTACAGTGGTGGCTAAAACAGTGGAAGGAGAAAAAAAGAACTGAGGTTAGTAACCTACAGCAGGTGCAGGGTGGTGGGAGGGGTTAGACTTCGTTTGTTTTTGTTTTTTCATTTCACACAGCATACCACTCTTACCTCATAGACCTGCCATATGAAGCGAAGCAGAGTAAGACAGGGAGACAAAACGGCACATGTTCATGTGGGCTCGGGTGTGTTAATGTGTTTCTGAGGCACAAGGACTGAACTAGYGACCCCCATAAGCCTAGAGCTGATTTGAGTTCCAGGCAGCTACATGTTAAATCTACATCCCAACCACCATGAAAGCAAGGGTCTTTGATATATTAGACACTATCCAACTAACGCAGCCCCTATACTCTCCCCATTACGCACACACTGTGTGGGCAGCGCCTGCAGGAACAGGGTTCCTGTGGGGTCTCATCTACAGAAACACTGACAGCTGGTCATAAAATCAGAATATTATGAAAAAGTCAATTTATTTCAATAATTCCATTCAAAAAGTGAAACTTGTATTTTCGATTCATTCACTACACACAGAATGATATAATTTAAACATTATTTATTTTAGTTTTGATGATTAAAACTAACAATGATTGAAAACCCCAAATACAGTATCTCAGAAAATTAGAATATTATTTAAGAACAATACAAAAAATAAATAAATAAAAGATTTTTAGAATGTTGTCCAACTGAAAAGTATGAACATGCTGGCACTGCTCAGGTGTTCTGAGAGCCCAGGTTACTCTGATAGTGGCCTTCAGCTCTTCTGAATTGTTGGGTTTGGTGTATCACATCTTTTGTTTCACAGTCCTCTCCAGGGTGCGGTTAACTCTACTGCTTGTACACTTTTTTCTACCACGTCTTTTCCTTCCCTTCACCTCTTTATTAATGTTCCTGAACACAGAGCTCTGTGAACAGCCAGCCTCTTTAGCAATGACCTTTTGTGTCTGGCTCTCCTTGTGCAAGGTTTCAGCGGTCATCTTTTAGACAAGTCAGCGGTCTTCTTCATGATTGTGTCGCCTACAGAACTGGACTGAGACCATTTAAAGGCCTTTACAGGTATTTTGAGTTAATTAGCTGTTTAAATTGTGGCACCAGGTGTCTTTAATATTGAACCTTTTCAGAATATTCTAATTTTCAGACATACTGAATTTGGGGGGTTTATTAGTTGTCAGTTATAGTCATCAAAAGTAAACAAAATAAACATTCAAAATATATCAGTCTGTGTGTAATGAGTGAATTTAATATACAAGTTTCACTTTTTGAATGGAATTACTGAAATAAACCAACTCTTTCATGATATTCTAATTTTATGACCTGTATACAGGAGGGTCATTTGTTCTGTGTTAATTGAGCAGTTTCCCTTTAAACATAAAATACTGATAAGAAACTAACAAACACAAGGGAATAACAGATTTAATCTACAAGAAGGAATATGGACCAAATGTTCCATACATCATCATCATCATCGTCGTCTTTGATTTGTCCTCCGGTGCACAAAAATGTCTTCCGATAACAGAAGAAAAAAGTTAATGTCTTGAGGTAAAGTCTGTGTTTTTATGTTTAGTAGTGAAAGAAGAGCTACTTTAAACACTACACACCTTCTAGCAGGCATTGATTAGGTTCTTTGCATCATGTATAGAAAAAACCCAACACTTTTGGTCAAATTAAATCACATTTTTAATGATCTGCAAAGAACCAAATCAAAACCTGTCATTTGTTTTCTACAAGATAGTGGAGCAAAGTCCTGGTTATTCACCTTATCCCCTGTGAAAGTGGGCTAGATTGGGGAAAAATGCAAATTTGTGACACCAACACAAAAATGTCAAGAGGAAAGCAAACCCTGACAGCGTCCTGACTCGCTGCTTGTTAATAAGTCAGCACACACATTTCAACCGATTCCGTTTTCAGCCTCTTACCCAGTTCTTTTTGTTCTTTTTCTTGTTTTTAGCATCAGCATCCATGTTGGAGCCCACACTGGAGTGGCTGGTGGCGCTGGCGACGCTGCTGACGCTGTCAGAGGAGTGCTGCCGCCTGATGCGCAGGTCTGGTTGCTGGTTCTGCTGCTGCTGCTGAAGAGCGCTGTTACTGCCACCTGAGGAGATACAGAACAGATTCACATCTATGTGCTTTTTTAAATTCTAGGTTAAAGAATTCTGTTAACCTCTGGACAAGCTGAAACTTAAAAAATTGACCACTTTCTGTAATAAAATAATGTTTCTTACAAGAAAATGTTGAATACAGTTTTTACTGTCATAATAGTCTTAGCTAAAGCAAATGATTGTAGTTCGTTTGTACCTGTTCGGTCACTTTTAGGTACGAGTTCAGGGGTGTTAATGACTCCATTGATGGCAGCCTGAGCGACAGCGTTCTGCTTCTTCAGCAGCTCGATGGTCTTCCTCAGCTCATTCAGCTCAGAGTCCTTCACAGAGAACACGGCAGAGTTAAACCTGACCATTCGGCTGCGTGTGTTTTCAGCATGTTTCATGCATCGTACCCATCAGTTATTCAGGAAACACGAGGAGCTGTTTTTACCTTCTGTTCTGCCGTCAAAGTGAGACTCTTCAGTCTGATGGTCATGTTGCCCAGACTCTGCTCAAACGCTGCCACCAGGTGAGCCTGTGGGAAAACAAAAGTAACTTWCAGATGTGATGCACAGTATGTTGGGTTCTAAGACATGAGTTAAAAAATATAAACTAAAACGATCAAAACCTTTACTCGCCAACTTTATTAAAGTTTCACCTGTCAGGCTGTCAGGTATCTGGTATTCTCAAAACAAATCCTAAAATCCCAGCAAAAAGACTCATGCTCATGGTTTGTTGTTTGAGGAGAGATTAAAGTTTAGGGCAAACCAGTTTTCTGTGTTGTGAACCGCAGGAAGATGGCTAATTTATGGTGCGCACATAATAAACTGAAAGTGTGTTTGTTGACAGTGAAACTAGTCTGAATACGTCTAAATGAGCTCGGCTGTGTGGGGCAGAGTATGAGGGAGGGAAAACACTGGGAACCAGCAGCGTCCGTGAATAAAGGGACAGGCTGCTCCACCTGAAGGGCTGAATGAGATGAGAAAACACAAGAGCTGTTGACGTAACCGCTTCAACCTTGGGGACCAAAACCCAAACATGACTTCAAGTTAGTCTTGTATCAAGAAACAAACATGAAGAAACCCAAACAGCAGAACATGCTGGGATCATCTGCTGTTTTTACATATCACTGAACTCAAACTGGTCATCAAGGATTGCATTCAAGGATAAGCACAAAGATATCACTATTTGATCTGAAAACGTCCAGCATTAAACTGAAATGAGCCTTTAACAAAAGAGAATGATAAGATTAAAAAAACACCTAAAGAACCAAAAAGAGGAAATTCAAATAATAAATTCACACATGAGGATTCAAGTTGTCTATTTGCAGCAGATGTTGTTTAGACTTTTCTTTTATGCCTCTGGGGCTTCAAGGTATATATAATCCATCATCTGTCTGTTTGTGTCGTGCTGTTAAACGTTTGAACAAATCTCCCAGCTTCAATTCCACCTTCTGGGTTTTCTGTCAGTGATATTATTTTTATTTCTGTATTTCAGCTCCTGAACCTCTTTGTTGAATTCAGGTATCATTTGCTCTAAATCTTTAGTCTCTATCTGGGACTTGAGTAACTGCTGTAATCAAACACCTTTGTCTTCATTCCATGTCTCTAATCCAGTAAAAAAAAAAAAAAAAAACCCGGGTGCGCATGCTCAGGTTGCAGATTACAAGTGGAGCCTGGTGAGACTTGTGCTTCGCAGAAAACAGGCTGACGAAAAGAATCGTGTCTAGAGGTGCTTTAAGAAATTTTTCTACAACTTATGCCAGCTGTAAAATTATAGCTTTGCAGATTAAAGATCTTCATGGCAGCAACTGTTCAGTGCTTCTAAAAGCTAGCGCTTGAAAAAAAACATTTGAGTGCGTGACAGAGACAAAGTATTTTTCCAAACACGAGTTGTAAAAACTAGATTTCTGCGTGTCATGGATTGTCGAGCGTATCTACCTTCAATTAAAAAAAGGTTTAAAATTATTTTTAATGACAAACTACAAAGGATGTGGAGTACATGTTTTGAAGGTTTTCTCAGTGTGCATTGAAGTGCTTGTTTACTTACATTAGCACTCAGTTGTGTCGTGAGGGCAGAGACTTTTTCCTGGGAGGCATCCAGCTCCCGACGCAGCTTTCGAATCTGTAGGTTTAAAAAAAACATAAAAAATAAGAAGACAAAAGGATAAAGACAGCGTCTGTCACAGCAGAGTGGAAAAGACTGTAGTACAAATGAGGGAGGCTCCCAGATCTGAGCTCTGATATGTTCAGATTAAAGGATGAAATAAGGCCACAGGAGGATAAAAGCGCACATACAGGTGTACGCAGGTGTTCAGAGTGGAAAAAAATAGAGCCTGTTATAGGGTCAGTCACAATACAGCTGCACATGTAACTGGATACAAGTGTGAAAACATGCCTAAGTTTCAACAAGTCCYGCCACTGCGTGCTGAAAATGAAAAGAGGACGGAAGTGCTGTGGGCGTGTTGACGCTTACCTCCGACTGAGACTTCTCTTCATTCTGCAAAACAAACACAAGAACAGGAAACCATCAGGTTACCACAGACAGGATTCTGAGATGCCTTAAAAAAGACTTGTTCAACCTGCAGTAGGTCAACCTGTACATGTCCTYACTCCTCTCTGATTTATTAGCTCTGTGGAGATGAGCTTTATAAACTGTGGAGGATATTGTGTGGTGTTGTGTGTCTGGYAAGCACAGATCTCCTCCTGAAGGCATTTAACTGTGTGTGAGAGCCTCATTGTCCTCATCGGCATTACCCAGAACAAAAGCAAAAGCAAAAAAAAAGATAGGGAGTTAAATAGACGTACGAAGGAAGAGCATGGAGTACAACTGTTCGCACGTACACAACACACCCCGCTGACGCGTGCAACTCCCACATTTACATGAAATATGGAAATGTTTTTCTTACGGTTTGTTTTCTTTGGRAAGTAGTCAGTTCACAGATTATTCGGCTGAATTTAAAGCTGCTTGTCCTTCCTGTCTTTCAAACATCAGCTCACCTTGTGGCAGAAGCAGCAGAGTGTATAAACGGCTCACAATTCATCAGTTTTTCATGCGTTTCCACCTACCAACCACTAAGTACTGAAACAGATTTCATAAGCCTCCATTGTAAGTTTGTTAGCCCATCTGCACTGCGGCGTGTGGTTTACAAAGTGGCATGTGTCCACACAGGATCTGCACGCCCACTCATACACAGACATGACCAGCCAGATCCTAGAAACACAAACAAAAGCAGTCTGCTTTGGAGATGCGTCCAAAACACCGGGATGTCTCACTCTGACGGAAAAACCTGGACCAACTTCTCTCAAATAAAATTATTTCAACAACTATTAAAACTGCTTTAAACTTTGTAACAATGTCAAGAAAAACATACAAGATGAAAACAGTTTGAGTGAGATGTATTAAATCCTGCTGATCTGGAATCTCTAAAAGAATAAAGTAAACAAAAATACCAACATTCTTCCGAYCCACTGCTCCTCATTCTTACCGTCTGTTGCCAGGACGTGATGGTTCCTGTCAGGGATAAAGTGGCCATCATTTTGCCTCCACTCTTTCCCCTGCTCTGTCTCCCAGCCTGTAACTCCTTTTTTTACCTCCCAAGTCCAAACAGTGTCTGAGAGTTTCTGCGCTACACCTGCTCAGGTGTGCAAACCGGCCCAGATAAGGGGAGGAGCTTCTCTTTGAGGCACAGCGCTCCAGTAGCTACAGAGTTTCACATGTGGGCTGTGTCCTGTTTGAGTCAAAACAGCCAGAACTTTTCCACATGGAGCGCTTGAGTCAACTATCTGGACAGACTGTAGAGGAAATCACTTACAGTGATGTGAGCTAAAACAGAAGCTTGTTTGTCTGGTTACCACTTCACTGTGAGGTGAGAAATCCCTGCTGCTTTTCCATTTATTTCTCTTAGAAATCATTTTGTATTATAGAGAGGACTCAAACGAAAATGTATCTGTAATTTAAAACTCTGAAAACTCAAAAAAAAAAAAATCCCAAACTCACCGTGGAATAAATGGAAGATGTGCTGGAGACCAGAGACAAGGACGATCCATGAACTGCGGAGGGAACAATTACAAGCAGACATCAGGATTTAGAAAGTACATGAGATTAACGTGATCATAAACAGAACTCCTACTCCTGAACATGCTGACTGCAGGTCTGTGGTCATGAAGATAAAACCCCCTCCTTGTTACGGCTCAACTGTGGCGCAATCAACGCCAACCTGAGCCTCGCTCTGCCCGTGACTCATCCGCTAATCGCACATCAGACGCAGGGAAACAACGCCAGCTCTGTTTCCTGCCTGGGAGCAGATTAGTAAAGATCAGCTGTGTGATGTCATCAACCGCACAGAGAGGTCGGGCTGATCTGCAAAGAATTCATTTATTGGCCTCAAAAGGAGCAGACAGCAGTTAACAGAGGAGTCACTTTTATCTTCGTTTAGTCTAGACAGAAAGGTTTACTACCAGCCACATGAAAGAAGGTCTGATTTAGCACTTTTTGGGGGTCATTTGATAAAATCTTTTTATTTGTAATTATTGTTGCCTGCTGCCTTAAAATGTGAGTGATACTGAAATTGCCTGTGTGTGTTCTTCTGTCTGTTTGCAAAATAGGACAAATCACTGGCTGGATTAGAATAAAACTCACAGAAAGTAATCATTACATCTCATTAGCTTTTGGAAACACAAAAAGTAGTTATTACTTAGTCAGTTTTAAACATTTTGAGCTAAAGTTTGGTGTGGGACTAGCTGAGACTCATCGCCTGACACATACTCCGTGTGCTAACTGACCATGTAAAGCACGTGTCAAATTCAAGGCCCTGGCACGCCAAAAACCTTTTTCTAATTTAATATGATTTTTTTAAAATATATATCAATGGGTGGTTTTAACTGTGGACCACTGAGTGATTTTGTTTATTAGTCCTGTAATATTGATACAAAATAAGCTGCTTTAAAGCCAGCATTCACTGTAAACTGCAAGTCCCATAATGCATGTTGATTAAACATGGAAATTCACTGTCAGAAAGTCAGAATTTAAGACTTACCACCGTTCAACAGTGAGTAAAAGATTACTTAGATTTAAGACTTAAGGTTTACTTTTAATAGTATTTCTTTATTATTTATTTGACATTGAGTCAGTTGTACACATAGTGTTTTTCAGTCTTTATAATAAGACATGTTAAAACACTGTTTCTATGCAAGAAATACCACATAGAGCTCAGTTAATGTTTGTTAGTGGTGCTCAGCCATAGCAATGAGACCAGAATGTGACGTTTTCTGTTTAGTCAAAGTTAAACTTGAAACGTCAAAGTTAATTACAGCTGGCTCTTTGAGGGCCACCATAACGCTCATGTGGCCGTCTGTGAAAATGAATTTGACAACCCTGATGTAAATCTTTGGCATCTAATATATGGCTGATGATTTATGTTCTTTTAGATTTTAGATTTTTATTCTTGTAAAAGCCAAAACCAGCAAAGTTTGAAACTGTTTTGAGTTACTCTTTTATGTCTAAATGTCTCATTTGGGATTTTACTAGATAATTTTCCAATTATTTGATTGATCTTTTTATCCAGATCATGTTCCCACTTCATCCTGTTCAGGGTTGTTGATGGGAAAGGCTGGAATCTACACCAACAGGCAAGAGTGGGGACATCCTGTATCTGTATAAGTCACTTGGCTTAATGATAACGAATATGAAACTGTAGAGTGAGTAGTTCAGTTAGCTGAGAGTGGAGCAAACTGTTTGGACACCTGGTGATGGTGCCTCAGGTGTTTCAGACATGTCTTGGTACAAAGYGGCTGAACATGCATGAAGTGGATAAAGTGACAGAGAATAGTGCTGTTTCTCTCATTTAAGGACAGGTCCAACCGAGTGTTGGATGGATGATTTGGCCTTTGTCCTGTCAATCACACATAGGCGCATAGGTAACTTTACACTTCAGAAACACACGCACACAAACTGCATCTGTTTCCAACACACAATGAGTGAGAAAATGAAAAGGGAGAAAGTTTTGTTTAAAGTTTCTGAGATGTTACAGAGTCTCTTTCACACCTCCCACAGTGATCCCTATAATTATCTCTTCCTCTCAAATTGTGGAGCTGGGACGGGGAAAGAGCCTGATCTGTTACTGGTGCTGGAGGTGTAATAACACGTTTTCACCAAGATCTTTCACACAAGGGACGACAAACAGCTGTCCTACCCTCTTAAATGATCAAACGATTATACAAAACATCTTTGGACTGTCTTTGAGGTTTCACATTTATGTACAGAGCAGCTATTGAAATATTTAAACTCAGAAATAAAACAAAACAACAACAAATCATCTTCCATTTACTTAGATGCAAATTATCAAGTTTCTAGAAATCGCCTTTTTTAATATCGATGTTTTTAAGGTCAGTGATTGGTTCTTCATTAATCTTGATTTGYTGTTTAAAATCCTTACGTGTGACTGGTTTTAATTTCTATTTCAATCCAGTGACACTTTTAATAACAAAAAGTCACTTCTTCTAGCCATTATTACTCATTAGTGATCTGACTGCTAGTCTTTTTTAAAGCATTTCCCAATCTATTAATCAAAACAATTGATTTTGGATAATTTTCCACTACAAGTATTAAAACAATTTAAAAATCAGTTGACAGTTGTCAACAGCCTCAACAAATTAAAGTAAACTATTTGGTTTAACAGCTTTCCCTTGGGTGAAAACTGGGCACTTTATTCGCAAATGTACATTATGTGTGAGAACTGAGGAGACTCAAAAGGAAAGATTTGCTCCCCCAAGCATAGAGTCCTGCTGCTGGTGAGAAAAGCACTGCTTTGTACTTTCCCTCAATAAACAAAGCTGAACAAAGTTGTTTATGAATTTCCAAAGGAATAAAAGTGTTTTTATCCAAAGCAGGACTGTAATCTGCACTTACTGTATGTTCTGTTAACGAATGGAAGAATAATTCCTTTGGCATAAATCTCTGAAGAAATGAGGAGCTGACTGCAGAGTCCGAGAATAACTTGCTTACATTTACACCTCATTTTAACTCAAGTGCCCAAAGAAAACTGAATTCAATTGAAATCCGTGTTTCTCCTCTTTACCTTCTTCAAACCCGTCCCTGAATGATCCCGATCGGCTCATGGTGCGAGTCTTCTCGTCCAGAGACATGCAGGAGTTTCTCAGCCGGTTGTCACTGCTGGGGTCAAACGGAGCATCCTGATTGGTCAGGCTGTTGTTGCGCAAACCAGCGAGATTGATCTGAGCTGCAGAGGTCGGGCTGGATGCTGTGAAAATAAAAAAGACACTTAAAATGAGGCAAAAGCATGTTTAAACATTGGTCATTAAAATTTCTCTACTTTAACAATGTAACTGATGCATTCAGTAAAGCTTGGTTTATACTTCAAAACGACGTGAGACAGCCGATCGGTGATTACATAATTTTGGATCATTTTCTGCTAAATAACATGCAGAAAGATGCGCCGCTCGGAGTGCTGCTCCACAGAGCTGCTCTGCTCGGCATGAACAAACACCCCCACAAAGTTCTGACCAATCACACGCTGTGAGCCGCAAGGTCTGCAGGACAGAGTTCTGACTGGGAGCAATGCACACAACAGCTGTCACCGGGGGACAGCAGACATAAGTTATGCAAGTTTTTAAAACGTGAATTTTTTTATCACTTCAGTAGAAAAAAAAAACTTCATATTAGTTTCTTAATTTCTTTACCATCTGTGATTTTTTAAGCAAAGAGAAAATAGAAAAAGAGGGAAAAACAAAGAGAAAATGTAATTATAAAGATTGAAATAGAGATTAGAAATATATTAAATATACACCAAGAAAACACAAGGCCACACACCCAACATCTGTCCGCTCACCTAAAAATAAATGGATAAATAAATGGATGGCATGCATACATATATACACATACCCATACATATATAAATATTTACATACATTCATGCATACTGTAGAAAAAATAAAATAAAATGAAAAAAAATAAAAAAAGACGTGCAATTTGAAGCATAATCCAGCATTAAGGAAAATGTGTGGCAAAACTTTGTCTTGAGCCACACACGTTAATCCCATCTGTTTGTGTGGAGTTGTGTTTTAGCAACATACCCAGTTGTGCGAAGTTGAAGCGAGTACCGGAGGGGGAGGTGAGGCTGGAGCTGGGGGAGAACGGCGAGTTGCTGACAGAGTCCTGCAGCCCGCTGGTGGAGTGGGAGCGCAGCCAATCACGATCCTCGTGGCCTCGCAGCTGGGTCGACGGGCCGTACCTGCAGAAATGATGTAACAAATATAACAGAACATCTGGCAAGGAGTTAAAGCAGGGATTAGGTGGTGTGGACTGTGCTTGATGTGAGATCAGGTTATATATTTTACAGTCAGTGATGTGGATTGTCTCCTTTCAAGCAGCCAGATTAATAGCTGGGATTTGAAATGAAGATGAAACAGATGCTGCGACAATTTATAACAACAGCAACCACTGATGCCGATTCCAGCTTTGAGCAACAGAAAACAAAAGCAAGAAAGACACCAAAGTAAAGTTAAATAAAACCGACCCCCTGATACAGTAACCATGCCTGCCACAGCATAACACGCCGACTGGATGACATGCCTCCTAACGGAAGCACAACACAACAACATGTGCCAAACAAAAACGGCTGTTTAAAGCGTGAGCAGAAGCCTTGGCGAGTGGATACAGACGCAGGAATAAAGGAAATGCAAAAGGGACTTTGGTGAATATGTGTGTGTTGGGAGGGGAAAGTGTCCAACAGAGAGCAAATGTAGTACCTGAATCCCTTCTTAGGCAGAGTGTTTCTACCACAGTGTGGCCCGCTGTGGGAGAGAAACACTTCAGAAGAGGAAAACAAGGGAGGCAAGGAAACATGTAGAACTACCTACAATTTTTTCACAGCAGCCCTATCTCAAGTGTGTACACACGTTTATCCTGCAAAGTCAATTTTGTCTTCTAAAAGAAGTTTGATGACCAAAATCAACCTCTGGTATTTTTTAAATAAAATAAAGAAAAATGAAATACAGCAATATGTTTTAAACTATTAAACAATCTTTTTAGGCTTGTGGCACCAGATGATAAGCCTCAGGAATAGCAGATATTTTTTTAGGATTTAATTTATTTAAAAAAAAACTTCCATGTAATTCTTTAGTCAACCATAAGATGGCAGTCTGTGAGCACTCAAAACAAAGCCAACCATTAAACATAAAAAAATCTAGACCACCTCACATTCTTACAAGTTCCCATTCATAACAAGGGGTCCTAAAAGTAACCACAAACTACCACACAGGGCAACACATTGAACACAAACCTATACACTGCAACACAAACGTTTCTGCGTGGTGCTCCCTGTGTGGCAGCAGGTTCCACAGGACCACCCACATCGATCTCATCAGAAGCCTACCATCATCACACAGGTACATTTACCTGTCCTGCCTCCGAGGGAGCGTGTTTCGGCTGAATATAGGGCTAGCGGAGGGGGAGGACAGGGGGCTGATGGAAGAAAGGAAGGAAGACGAACAACAGACAGAGAAACAAGAAAGTGTTTAGAAGTCGACGAAGAAGTGTTTGAGAACAGAGATCAACAGCAGGAGTCTTCACTGATGAAGCTGAGGAACATCAGGGAGGAAAGTCAGAGCTGTAAGTCCAGAAAACACAATGTTTCCTTACAGATATTCTTTCTAACAGTTCAGGGTTAAAGCCTGTCAGGATTCTGCTACTGACAACGCACGTACTGATTGTTGAATAATGAACAGGAAAAAAAGTCATTTCACCGCTCAGAATCAGACCAAATGATAAGCAAGTAGTGATACATCACCACAACGGCTGCTTCGTACTGGAGTTGAAAAGATTTAAGACTGGGCAGGTTTTCAGGACTCGGAGGGTCTTAAGCCCCTTTCAGAGACGTAGAAACCACGTTTTAATAAGACTGGAGCTATTTTTAACACCTACTATCAGACTGAAAAGGTTGGACTTTCTAAGTAACATGTTGGCAGAAAAACACATTTTTACAAAATAAAAAAGTTACGTCTTTCTACTGCTGACAAAATAAACACTTACAGCTAACCTATGTGAATGCTGACAGTTTAATAAAAGAAAATTGTACTCCAAGAATACTTTATCATGCAGAGTGCTCTTATCTAAGCACTTAAAAGATACAGAATTTTATAACAGCATTAATATAACAAGGCTGTCAATGTTTCAGTTCATAGAGATCAAGATAATCTTAACTAATTTTAGAAGTTTGATTATTAAAGCTTCTTTTATTAATCCTAACAATTAAAACAATCTGCAAATACATAATAAGCCACTGTGACATGTTGTAATGTTGCACTGAAGCTACATGAACCTCATGTCTTAATGTAACGTGAACAACTTCAGGAAAAAAAACAAATTTTAGAAAATATTGAACTTATAAGACATAAAAGCATTTTCTATTTCAGCTGGTTAGACCAAAAGTATTTTCACAACAATCGTTATCTGAAACAAGCAAACATATAGTTCTTATGACACAGATAGGAATTGTTTCAGTATCTTTTGTATCCATTCAAGCCATGAATGAAAACTAGAGCTAAATAGTCAAACCCAAACTTCCATGAATGCAAAACACTTGATGATGTGATTATATGTTCTCACCTCTCAGACATGCCGGTCTTCACGCTGCCGGTGCGACCCAGAGCCGACAGAGTGTCCTCCCTGTGGGTGCCGTGGCCCCCGACGCCGCCTCCAGCGCTGCCCAGGCTCATGTCAATGGACTCGCTGCTGGTGTGCATGCTGCTGACAGAAGGGAAGCCCACYCTGCCTGTCCCAGCATATCCACCGAGGGTGCCCTCCCGGCTTGGGACAGAGGAGCCGCTGAATGTGGTCCCCCACGTCAGGCTGTTAGAGGGGCCGGTGGAGGAGTAAACTGACCCTGGGCTGGAGGCCTGAGGAAAGAAGATGCTGACTCTCAGATGCCATATTTGTTTGTAAGGACTAACTAATGAGACATTAATTCACAGCTCTGGTCTTTAAGTTTAAAATAAAATTAAATAGTGACAGGCAAAACGCTGAACAGAAGGCCTAAAAGTTTTTTTAATCTGATCTAAGAAGTGGAAGAGACAGAGAAGTGTCGAGTCATTCTGTCCTAATGATGTTTCCGCTGACCTAACTGAGGCAAAAAGCAGTTGCATGCCTTTTCCTTCTTTATTCCCAGCTCTATAGGATTTCATATAATTGATTAAACTTTTGAACTCATCCCTGCTGTTGATAAAGTCATAAACTCCTACCTTGAAAAACAGTTTTCATCGTTTATGATTCAGTATGACTCATACCAAACCAGACAAAAACCAACAAATCATGTGAGAATGCAACAGAGTTCATGACTGAGCACGCTGAATCTTTTGTGCTCTGAAACAATATAAAACCTGCTGTTTGTCAAACGCGCCCAAGCACAGCTCGTATGTTCGTCCCCTGAACTCGTGAACTGCTCAAAGAACCCAAACACGTGCTCGGTATTAGTAAGGTGAGAGCAAAATAATCCCTGTTGTTCCAACCAAAGTCTTTTAAGCAGCACCATAAACAGCTGATCACAACCTAAAGGACTAAAGTTCCAAGTGACAAGAGCTCTAAAGGTCTGTGGTAAGAAATGAATGACGGTGAAAACTTGCCATATAACAAACAACTATACAGTGGTTGTTTTAGGGTCACATAATTAAATACAAAATAAAAATTAACACAAATCTTTTGTCTTTATTACTAAACACTCCTCACCTGCTCACTGCCCAGTGTGCCCATCCCTGACCCCAACGCTCTGCCTCCAAACAGGGGGCTGCTGGTCTCGCTGTCTCTGACTCCAAGACCTCCATCAGGGGACTCCAGCACCGTAGCTACGTGGGTCATGGTGGCGTGGGGGTTGGAGATGACTGTGGAATTCTTCAGGTTTTCAGCTGTGGTGACCGGAGCCTGCTTACTGCTCTTTCCACCAAATAACCTGGGGTAAATTGGGGGGGAATGTTAACTTAAAACTATTGTTGCATTTCAGTTTTAAATCTTAATACAGATAGCTGAAAAATATGGTATTATTGCGAGATGATTTTTGCTTCCATACATTTTTCAGCATGCAACTCATTCAGCATTTTTTGCCCTATTTTCACAATTTATAAATCAAAACTTTCAGCTCTTTCGGGACATTTCTGCTATGAGCTTTAGTATTTCAGTAATTTATATTTTTTTAAGAAACGTAGCTTTTTCTGCCATGTTTTTCCTCATTGAAAATGAATGGAACTTCAACATCCTTAAAACCCTTCAAAATGTTCATTACTCTTTACTGCACTTCTTACTTTTTGTTCTGGATCTTCTTTTTTTTTTAAAAAAAACTTCTTTGTGCTAGTTTCAGCTTCTTTCGACTTCTACTTTGCTGATTTTAGCTTTTTTTTTCTGTTGTTTTAGACAGTATTCTGACCTTTTCTTCTATTCCTCTGCTAATTTTGAGTTTTTCATGCTTCTTTCAGCTTCTTTCTGCTATTTTAAGCCTTTTCAACTGCTTTCTTCTAATTTCAGCTGTTTTCTCTGTTTTTGGCTATTTTTTTTACTATTGGAGCTTTTTCCAGCTAAATTAAACTTTTTGTGATATTTTTATCATCTTACTGCTTAATTCAGCAAACATGCTTTTCCTGTTTGTGCTAATTTCAGCTACTTCAGCTACTTTTTCGTTGCTATTTCTAGGCTAGAGTTTTTAGCTATGTAGCTAAAATATTTAAAACATCAAGCATTCACACTGCATTTTTGCAGAAAATCAAAATCGCCAGTTATTATTATTGTTAACTATTTACAGGAGAATAGCAAGACAAAAATGCATTAAGCTGATTTCTGTTTACAGACTGCTAAGAATGAGTGTCAGTCAGAGTATCACACTATACAACACAACACAAGATACATACTGATATTATAATAAAGCAATACAAATGTAATACTGGCAATAAGCCAGAGAATTCTAAAACGATACATTGCAATATTTTTAAGCCATAAAGAGAAAATTCCAGTGACAAATTAAAAGATTTTTATAATTTTACAATAGTGACTTTCTTTTTACTCCAGTCAATTACCAGCTGTTACAACGAACTTTAACGTTTTTTAGCTGGTTACGTTTAAAGGCCAAGTTTCCACACATTCACTGTGCTCAGCTTCCCATCAGGGAGCCATGAAAGCTCGTGTTGCCAGGAACAGGAAACATTGCTCAGAGTGCTTCAATGATAAAAAAAAACATATAGATTTGATATGCACAGAGGAGGACAACAAAGTTTTGACCTATCCTTCTGTCAATATTTTTTAAGTTGTTTAAAGTTGTTCTGAAGTGGACACTTTACCAACCAGTGGAAAAAGAAAAAAAGAGGAAAATTAGGTTTATCTATGTACAAATTTCAGGTAAACTTCCATGAGTGTGGTTTCAAACTGAAGAGAAAAGGGACTCGTGCTTTTGCTGGGAGAACAGAAACAGAAGTATTATATTGTAACTCTCAGTGGAAGAAGAAATACAGTAGCAGTACTGTAGTCAGTAGAGAGAGAGAGAGAGAGAGAGAGAGAGAGAGAGAGAGAGAGAGAGAAACACACACACACAGAGCTTTGTCCTTGTTCTAAGCTAATCCTGGGTTAGAGTTAAATGGCAGGCTGTGATGACTGAAGCTGCAGCAAACGATAACAGCAGCTCAGTCTCTTTGAAGAGTTATCACTGCCTCACATTAATGAGGGCAGAAAGTTGAGGTAAGACTCTGCTTCCATTACTGAGCACCACACCCTCCTTTCACCCCCCAACTGCACCACCATAGCTGAGGTTTGGCAGCTGATCTGCTCAGCTCAAGGCTACATTCACAAAGGCTTGATTTAACCTCGCAAAGACTGTGTGTGTGTGTGTGTGTGTGTGTGTGTGTGTGTGTGNTCTGCTCAGCTCAAGGCTACATTCACAAAGGCTTTGTGTGTGTGTGCAAAGACTGTGTGTGTGTGTGTGTGTGTGTGTGTGTGTGTGTGCGAGTGAGAGAGAGAGAGAGAGAGAGAGAGAGCCCACATGTGTGATCATTGATGATTAAGTCTTTAGGTGGACGTGTAAAGTCAAGCCCATACAGGAGGATCCCACTCAGTGTGGCTCATTAGTCAGCCTCCTGGGTGTCTGCTAACATTCTGTTCTGTAAAAATAAAGCGTGCGTGTGCAGTGTTCTCACCTGCGTAACGTAGGTGAAGAAACCTGCTGTCTTCCTGTCAGAGGGACAGTCGCTGCTCCTCCACTCTGCGCCACGGCGCCGTTCCTCAGGTTGTCGAACTCGGAGACCCCTTTCTCCCGGTCCGTCTGATTCGCCAGCAGGCCCGCGGAGCTGTTGGTTTTGGCGATGCCGATGGCGTTCTTGCCGTGAGACGTGACTGAGAGCACGGCGGCCTCGATGCTGCTGGTGGAGGAGCGGTTGCCGCTCCGGGCCGCGGCTCCTGAGCGGCTGGGTCTGGGCAGGCTGCGGTACTGCAGCGTGGAGCGCGCGCTCATGGGGAGAAAGACATCGTCGTGGTGGCCCAACACAGAGCCTCCGTCCTGCCCGCCGGACTTCAAGCCTCCCGACAGCGAGCGCCCCCCAGATTTAGGCATCTTCCCCAGGGTGGCCGATCCGCTGGTGATGGTGGCGCCACTRGCAGTGACCATGGTGACCATCCCTGCACCTTGCTTCTTGAAGCCAAAGGTGCTGGTTGGGGCACGCGAGGCCAGCGCGTGTATGTGGGATTGTGGGTCTGAGACAGTGTGCGTGAGTGCATTTGTGGTCGGCGTCTTCTTCGCCTCATCACCGCTGCTGCGGCCAGCGTCTGACGGAGAGCGCTGAAGGCCATTAGAGCGAGGAGAAAGACGTCCTTTCTCTGACACCTTAACGTCGTCTGTCTTACCTGCAGGACAGATTGAGACYTCAGCTGAGTCAGCTGGAGCTACATTAGTCCAGTAATTCAACTCAAGTAAAACACAACCGGTAAGAGGCATACTAGTTGATGCTTTGGCATGGACTGGTATGCCTCCTCCTGCTCTATACTCATCTACAGTTAAAGCACTGGGCATGCAGTTACCTGCTGACATCTATTTCTGGACTTAAATATTCCAAAACATATTTAACTATATCAACAATGTGTAAATATGAGTTCCTCTTTGATATTTACATAACATTAATTTCAGTGACCAACAACTTATGTGTACCAACCAAAATACAGGGATTCAAGCAACAAATACTATGTTCACACTGAAGGTCTTTATGATCAGTTCTAATTTATATTTTAAATCTGATCTTTTGGTGTGAATGTTCACATTACATTTTAAATGCAACCTGCATCAGACTCCAGTGTGAACGCTACACAGCGCTGATGTGACCCACATGCGCAGTAAAGACGTGACGTCTCATTCAGCCAGCCGGCTTGTTTGTTTGCAGAGTTAGCATGGATGCTACATTTACCATGTGGAATCTGAAGTTGATCAATCAGAGCTGATTAAAAAAATTATCTGACATGCTTGTTTAGTTCAGTGTTTATATCTGAATCTGCCTCTGACCGGATGCTCCGGTGAAGCTTTTTATTTTTTGAATGAAACAACGAGTTGGAAATAAAGTATCGACTAAGTAACTTTAGGATCGATACGCTCTGCGACCGAGGCTGAACGTTACTATCTACATGAAAAATTAAAAGTAAAAAGATGAAGCAACTGGACTTTTGTTTTGGAGCTGTAAACACATGGAGCTACAGATTTAAACAGCGTGACTTCAGGTTAGTGTCTTATCGATCCTTAAGACCCACCTCCCTGATGAAAAAGTCAGATGGAATGTGACATGAGCGTTCACACTGCAGTCACTTTGACAACGTCAGATATGTATCTGATTCAGTACCACATACTGAAACGGCCGGGGTCGGATTAGAAAAAAATCAGATTTGTCGCGTTCAGACTGTCATAAAAAAATTAGAAAGGGGTCGCATGGGGCCAAAAAATCTGATTCAGGTCGCATTTGTCTGCATTGTGAACGTAGCCACAGATCACTTCAGCTTTGATCTTTGACCCCAAAATGTTTTTAGACCTCCATTGGGCCAAGAACAATTATCATCCATTTTGATAGAATTCAATAGCTCTGTTCAGGAGATACAGTGAACACAAGACATTGTGATGGACACCCAGTAACGCACAGATGGACAACCCAAGAACAGCATGCCTACTTGAGCCGAGGCATAAAAATACATTTTGACTGATAAGACTGTAAGACTTGGTTAGAAGAACAGTTTTTACAGTGAAGTGGCTGCTTACTGCTCAGAAACATTAACAGATTAAGCAGGTCTCCTGCCAAGGCCATGTTCAGAGGTTCACGTAGGATTAATGTGGCCTGAAACATTCATCAAATTTGGGTTGTATCACACAGAATAATAATTTGTTTCCTTTTATTAAGCAGGTATTTTATTTGTACTGTTAAGGTATTAGAAAAAAAATGTCAGTTTTATATTACAGTTTTATCATTAATGATGATGGACAGACACTGCACTAACACACAGACAGCCAGAGAACAGTATGCCTCCGGTCCCAGTGGGCGGAGTCATAATAATAATAAAAGTTGATAGATTGTTACCTGAACTGTGGCTCTTGATGCCGGAGGAGACTGTGGAGCCTGTGCTGCTTGTGCTTTTAGTCCGGGGTGATGTCACCCCCACCTGAGTGCTCATGCCTCTTCTCCAGGAGCCTGTTTGGGACACCGAGGGGGTCTTCCTCCCTGAGCTGCCCTTGTCAGACTCATCAGAGATGTTACAGGTCCTGCGGCTCCACTTGGAGCCACAATCCATTCTGACCCCTGCGTCTGACCCGCCGTCTGGCCTCTTCACCTCGTCTCCTGCCCAAGCTTGATGAACTGCTGAGGAGGCCGAGTGCTTCTCTGCATCCGTCACAGGCTGGAAATTTACACAAACATAAAGACCGTGTCGCATTTAAAACTACCAAAAACATGCAGGCCAGAGGTTTAAACAGTGCTGCAACCATCATCCTGAATAATCTTACCAACAACCCAATAATGATGATCAACTCAGGGCCTGAGCACAAAGCGTTCTAGTTAATTGGAAACATGAGGGTTATTTTTACTGTTCTTGTTACAATGAGCCACATGTTTTACAGAAAAGAGGTCTTTGATTTCTGAGTGTTGATAACAAAAATAGGGACTTTGTAACAAAAGCATCTTATTAAAACTGAACCAGATGGAACTATTTCACGTGTTTCTGCAAACCTGCAAAGCCAAATCATTGGTTGTCTCTCTGCAGATTTAAAGTTAATGTTCATTAATAGTCCGTGTAGTAAAGATAAAATCCTTAACTTTTTTCAAGCTTTTTTTAATGGTTATTCTTTAAAAATATACAGTATACCCAGTTCACCGTGTGCTTTATAAGAAAGAAATGACAGGAGCTGTGATGATGACTCTTTAAACATCTGCAGCTCCAAGGATACACCAATAAAAACAAAGCTGTAAGCTGATCTGCTGTGTGATCTTAAAAACAATGACCCACAGTCCAGCTTGTTTGCGGCTGCCTGAAGACAGATGATGAGACTTTATTAACCTGCACCATGTCGAGCAGCTGCACTGAGAGAAGGACCCCTTTGTACAGCCTTTTGTTTTGAAATCATCGTCTTTACCTCTGCAACAGTAATCAAACAGTCACCACAGCCTCATTGGCCTCACATCAAAGTACACTGCTTGTGTAATCGACACACGAGTTTGCTGGCATTTTCATACCCCGGTCATGGTCTGAAACTTATATTGAAGACCGACGTATGAATTCAGTAAAATAAGATACTAATTAAAACAATTAACCAATAAAAGTAACTTAAGTAAAAATAAGCAGTTTCTGGAAAAGCTGAAGTGGAAATAAAGAAGCACAGCTGAAAGAAGAAGCTGCTGATTATTAAATCTCCATCAGCTGTGTGTTCAGATAGCTGTGGTGATGTTAGGTACAGTTTTTTTAATCCAAGACAATGAGAAAATATATTAAAACTTTGAATCAAACTCCTTTTATTAGAAACTCTAAAAGTCACAATARTGTTACTGTAACCATGAGACAAAGGCATTCCTGCACACATCAGTGTGATTTTTGTCTTTCTGGTGTAAAAGATTTGAACTTACGGATAGTTTAAAGTAAGGCTGGGCAAAATCGTGTGCAGTTGATCATCAGAAAAACTTTAATCAATTATTTTTTGGCACTTGATGATTAATACGAGGCCATCAAAAGGCGGCCATCTTGTAATGACTTGTTAAAAAAATAATAGTAAATAATAGCTGCACACCCGATGATTCATTCCTGAGAATTTCATTAAAACATGACCCACTGGTTCATGACATGTTTTGCCAACGGACAGACACACAAACACACACACATTCGCCTTTGAACAGCAGGCAACAGATGTTGCTTGGGACCTTCAAATCTACAGTTTTTTTTTTTTTTCAGTTTTTAATGCCAACTCTAGAAAACATGTAAACATGGTCCTAAAAAACATGACATTACCTTAAAAAACATCAGAGATGTTTCGTGTTGTTGGATTGTTTACTGTAGACAGTTGTTCCTGTGCGTGTTAAGAATCTGATGTGGTGCAATACTGACAACAAACATTTGACTTGGACCAAGATCTAAATTTAACTGTTAGCAAAAACAGACCTAACACTTAGCCTGTATTCACCAATGTTGTGCTATGTTTAATAGGACACTATATTTTAATCAATAAAGTTTCAACTAAAAGCTGAACAACACAATAATGCAGCTCCTGTAAACTTTTTTTCCTGAGAGCTTTCTGCCTTTGAGGTAAGAGAAACTTCATTCTGTTGGATTTAACTGGAGGAAGTTTTCTGTCTTACCTGTGTGCTGAGGCCCTTACGCTGGGTTGCAGGTGTGTTGGCGTAGGAGGAGATGGAGGAACTGGTGTTGATGTCATCTGTGTCGATGTTGTCACTGACGCCACTACTCACAGAGCTYCTGTCATCCCAGCTACAAACACACAGCAGAGGAGGCGGAGAGACTCATTTATTAGTTTAAATGGTAGGGTGGTTGGTTTAATAAGAATAGGAGAATCCAGTAATGAACAGATATTATTTGAAAACATATTTTGCCCGTTTACAAAGAACCTAAATTCACRTATAAGGCAAAGAGAGCGACGGGACAAAATAGGCAAAATGTATAATGGTACTTCAAAACATAAAGATGCCTTTTTGAGTCTTTTATTTTTCAAATAAACTAATAACGGATCTTTTCCAAGCTTTCTTCATTTATTTATTTTTTGTCATCAAAACATTAAGGTTCCAGAAATATCACCTATTTGTGACAAATACAAAACTTCCACTGCAACCCATCTTCACAATTGTGTAATTTTCCCCAAAATGTATTCTTTTTTGTATTGACATTTGTAATGTAACGTCTGAGATTATAGAGGTTGTGATCAAGCCAGATCCTATGRTTATTATTCTTGGAGTAACAGAAACTGTGAAATGATTAACTAAAGCTCAACAGTGTTTAATTTAATTTTGTCTTATAGTAGCAAAAAAGCAAGTTCTCACTCTATGGTAGAGTGAAGATGCCTCAACAATTAAGATGTGGCTAGAGACTTTAATGAATACACTCCATTTAAAAAAAAAAGATTTGTTTTGAAAGATAGACTCAAACATTTTGATAGAATTTGGCAATCCTTTAGGAGAGATTTTGTGAAAACAAGTGGTGACAGCCTCTTACAATGCTGGTAGAATCTTGTACTGACGGTTATGTCTTCATGGGTAGATGGGTGGTTCTGGTGAGGTGACGAATCAATTTCTTTTTATTTTTATTATACAGTTGTTACTGCTGCGTTGCCTCAATTGTTTGATAGTGGTGAATGTGGACATGTATTTTGTTTTTGTTGTAAACATTTTAATAATTAAAACATTCGGATTTTGGATACAAACCAACAGATCATTTTTATTTCAACATTTAGCATGGTAATGTGTGTGATGTTGATTCATCAATGAATGAGTGACTTAACGTTAATAAGAAAAAAAATGGAAATTTTAGCACATAAAATAAAAAAGAGAGAAAAGAATGTGGTGTTTGAGACTTCCTGGTGATTCTCTTCCTTTCTTCTTGAATAAACTGATTTTAACTTGGACACACACACAGACAAGCACAGACCGGCTGAATGGGGTTGTCCATCAAATGAACAAAGGCTTGTCAGAGGGGTGACATCATGGTGCGCTTGTGTGTCTGTGAACTCCTCAAACAGACCCATATGAGCAGAGCAAACGTGCCAGGGGTTAAGGCTATCTGTAAATATGCCTGTGTGTATCTGCCTGGAGTCTGTGGGGGACAGGAAGACCAGCCATTTGGCAAACAGCACTTTGAAAGGAGCAGAGGGAGGCTGATGCTGACAGCCAGTGCAGCACTGGCTGCAACAAACCTTGCACACACCAACTCGCTTCAGAGTTGAAAAGCTAAATGCATTTCAAATGTCATCAAAGAAACATTCATTATCTGGTCGAGAAAGAGTTTCACAAAACAGATGGAGTTGGAGTAACATTACAAAACTTAAAATCAAACAGAAGGAACACATTTCACCCACTACCTCTCATGCTAGAGTTTTAAACTCAGTTGACCTTGTGTTGAGAAAGGYCAGAATAAGTGTCGTTTTGTTAAAATCCTAAAAACAATTTATCGGTGATCTTACAAAATACTGCAAAACCTCTTACAAAAGCTGAGTACTCATAGAACAAGTTGTAAATAACTCTCAGCTACAACCACACCAAAGTTGAGCTAAATATGTAAAACTGTATTATAACCATTTTTATATTTCGCAAGATCAAATGTATGTAGCAGCTGTCTTCATTTAAGGTGACTTCAAATGTTACTGAGTAWTAAATGAACATTCATTCATTACTTTTTGAAAGTATCATTAAGGTCCATTCAGTGACTCGTGAGATACTTTACTAAAAGTGAGAAAAGGATGATTACAGCCATAAATTCCAAAGTTTTGAATAAAATCTTTAGGATTTGTTAGTGCTTATGTGTCATGAATGTCTCTGAGATACTACCGTACCAAATTTTATCCCAATATTTGTAATATTTTACTGAGTTATAATAACTTTTGTGTGTCTTTTTATTATTAATTAGCTGTCTTTGTCATTTTGAATTGATTTGATTCGAAACCTGAATAATTTTCTGATGTAAATCCAACGATAATTGCTGAGTGTTAGTTAAATCTGTCCAGTGGTTCATGAAATATTTTACTAAAAACACAGACAAGCAAACACACACTTAGATGTTTGTCTTTCAGCAGAGGGTGATAAACATTTAACAAAATCATTACGACTGCAATGCCTAAATAAAGGACACAGGAAGTGTTTTGTTTGGGTAACCCAGAATCTGGTGTTGACATTTAGCACTTGACAGCTTCAAGGGTCAGCATCCATCAACTGATACAGTATCTGCTCCCATTCATCAGTCATTCCACTGGTTTGATCTTTATAAAAATAAAAATCAGAGCAGACAGAGCTTTGATTTATACAAAACTAAAACTGAGTTGCAACTGGGAAGTCTTGGCTTTTCCCACTAAAGAACATGCATACATCATAATTATGGCTTTAAATGACAAAAAGAGTTTTCAATGGCAAAAGTCCCATATTCAGAGGAAAAAAAAACCCTAACCCTAATCAGATGGTTCTCGACTAACTTTACTCCAAAAAACATCAACTTTTCAAACAATCTTGGTAACAACATGATAAACACAGAGAAGACAGGACTTCCTACCGGATTCACCAGAGGAATAAATCAACCGAAAGTTCAGTGAAGACATGCTTTAAAGAGTTGAAAGCATCCGTGGAGAGCAAAGAGCTGAGAGGTGATGAAAGATTTAAAGTGACCACAACTGTTTCAACTGATTCACACAGCCACAGGGGTAATTCCCACACACGCTGCGTTTAAAGAAAAATAAATATGGAGAGCTCAAGAATATAATACATCAATATGCCCCGGCCCTTTCCTTAAACAAACCCAGAGGAAGAGTTGAGAAATGAAACAGGAATAAAGTTTTCTTATGCATTCTTCTGCTCGCGCGCACACACACACACACACACACACACACACACACACACACACACACACACACACA